TATCGTTAAAACATAAAGAGTCAAATAATAATTCTACAGATAAATACATTCACAAGATACAGAAGAAATATTTCTTAAGGTCTTCATCATTTTCCGATTCCGGTTATAATCTGTAGACAAGTTACTCCTTTGTTACGGAAAAGCATATTTCTTTGAGATGTTTTATTTTGAACTTCTTTATTTAAAAATAGAATTCACCCAGTATTTTCCTAGCTTTTAAATTAATATTTAAACAGTTTTAATAATTAATAAATTTAAACAATTGTGTAAATGTAGCATGCATTATAACCGTAAAATCTATAACGACCGTGAAAAAAGTAAGAAACACATCTGTTTCGCTTGTTAATGTCTAAATATAAAAACTGTGACACCCATTGATAATTTATAAGCGTGTATTTTAAAATTTTCCGTGTTTACATATTGCGTGTTAAAAAAAATCCGGCATACATTTCGTATGACTGCACATTACAGCAATATATATTTTCTCTAATTTAAAATACTAAATTCCGTTGTATACTTTTTTTGTGTAAATATTGATGTATTGAATTGTCTTTTTACTGCGTGTAAGGTATTACAATTTGGAAACAATATACATATTAGAATCTCTTGTTGTAGACTGTGTGTTATTAACTGCCTTCATGGCTAGATAGAGCTCTCCTCATGATCACCCAAGCGTTGAACCTTGGAGAAATATAATACTTCCAGCTTGCAAAAATGCAGAAATCTTATAATTGAATTTAAATATTTTTTTTTGAAAAAGGAGGACAGACCGGCATGGGGTTTGCTGAAGGTGAAATTCCCTAAACAGATAGGGTCTGTTATTTTCCCACATAGGAAAAATAGGAGGACAAATAAAACATACTTTTTAAAGGTTTCCCTAACATTAAGATATGCTAGGTTCGTTAAATCGGTACGTAGCATTTCGTAGGCGTCTCGTAGCCACAAGCTTTACCATTCTAGAGAAAGTTTTGCATCTCAGGTACCAGGCGACAAGTAGAATACCGGGAATAGTTTCTGCGTGGAATGAATGCTTTCGAAGCAAGATATTTTGGTTTGTGTCGAGGAGATGGAATTTTAGTGTGCACTGTGATAAACCACAAAATGTTGCAACATCTCAGACTACATCTAGAGTCTTTCTTATAAATGGGGGTTAGTTGAGCCTCCTTCCACTGCTTAGGAAAAATTCCTTCATCAATCGAACGCTGAAAAATTAAAGTTATGAGTCCAGTTTGACTTCTTTTTAAGAAAACTCCCGGTAAGTCATCCGTTCCGCAACCCTTTCGATCATCTAAATTTTTGAACGACATTTGTAATAATGTTGTATCTATGTGAATCTATCTTCACATGCTTTGTGGATTTTGTAAGAATTTATGAACTTCACAAGATTGATTTTCACTAACCGAAAGGCACTATCGGAGCTTCGTGGAAAACTTTTACCGCAACGTGTATAAGTGAAAATTGATAGCTTACTCTTGTCAATGATTTATAATGTATAATTTGTCCAATATAAGATGGTGTTTGGCCTTCGTTAGTTTTATTATAAGTTTAAAAATGTACAAATAATATCTTTATTGACAGGTACCAATACAGGTTATATAAAAGAGTAAGTGTTAAGTCATATATATGTTGCTTTTTAACATTTTTAAATCGCTTAGCCAACATTAACATTGTAATAAAAAAGTTTTTTTTTAAAAGGCGTGACAGAGTTATTAAAAAGAAAAAATATTTGTTTTGATATTAAATACAAACTAATATTTAAATTTAGAACGAATTTAGTACGCAACTAAGTTCGTTCTAAATTTAAATTGTTCTCTAAATTGAAAAAACATTTTTAATTCATCGATAGTTTAGTCGATACTAAACTACTAATCGAAGTTATACGAAATTGAGATCAAAAATCGAATAGATTAACAAAAATACTGTATTCCTATCGTGAGCTGTCAAAATCAATAAAGCCAAACTATAAAAATCAATCGAGTGAACCAGATGTCAGATGAAACGGTTATACAAGAACGCAATATAAATAATGATCGATCCGACTCAAATTGGCGCTTCGGTAATACATCAAACGCTTAGTTTACTTTTTTGCGTTAATATATTTATCAAATTATATTGTGTAATTTATCAAACATAAATCAAGATTAATCTTGTTTATAATAAATATTATAAAGAAATATCCCCCGCATCGATATTGCAAAATAAGTCTAATTAAATCTCTGTATTTCCCAATTAAGGTAAATATGGAGCTATTTATTCAGAATGCCCCAAAACTCTACTGTCTACCTGTAGCAGCAGAAAATAACCGTCACCGGGGACAGATATACTCTATCTTATTTAACTATTATTTTGGAAATACAATACCTAAGATTTTATATTTTTCTTGTAACTGTAACTATTTAGTTTATTATAATATCGTAAAGTACACTGGGACATCTATGTACATTTCTCTCAGGAGTCATTACTCTTTTTACTTAACTCGTAGAACGCGAAATATATTAGTTAAACTTATTTGAAACCGTTAAAGTGGTTTATTTAAATAACTCGTTTATTCAATGAATATTCCAAAATCAAATAGATGTCTAAGCTAGGCTGTAAAGGAACAACAAACGAACAAACACACCGTCACATTTTTATTTCAGTCATGTATAGCACCTCATTAAACGTTATTTAACACAGATTGGATCAGGCGCCAACTGAATCTGATTTTAACTTTTGCAGCTGATGCACGTATCTCTGTATTAATATTTATACATCTATTAAAATAGCGAGCCGTTCCTAGCTTGTTATTGTATGGGCGTGAGTTGAAAACGATTTGTCTATGTAATTAATTACTTTCAAAGTGGATTATCTCGGTCTATTGATTAATTCACTGACCCCAATTGGTTTGAGATTTAACCACAGTTATACTTTGTAATCCCAACCGCTTCCGTAACATAATGCCTAATTTTATGTATAGCGCGAGTGGTCCGCCATTTGAGTTCCGAGGAAACATATTTCGGTTAGTGATCAGACGCTGATGAAATAAATAAGACAGAAATATTCTTGTCCCACATATGGGAAACACTATTTCGGTTCGCCATTTGCAATCATTTTATGTAAATAAAAACTTACCCTATCGTTTTTAAGGTTATTATTTTTTATTTGAAATGTTTAATTCATTTTTTTATTATGCATTAAAAGACCAAACAAAGCTGTATCAAGTAAACATACGTAAATAAAAATCAATCAGGCCCATAACAGACATAAGACTGCACAGTCTTAGTCTGTCTTAGTGTAGTGTCGTAGTTTTCCCCTGCTCTGTCATTGTATTGTTAAAGGTAATAAATGCATTTTATTTATTTCATTAACTATTCAAATTATGCAACTAAAAGTAGTAAGCTATGGTGAGACGAGTGAAATCGCGATAAAAATCAAGTTTCTTCAATACCTATTTATAGAATGAAGATTTATTGTTTACAGCTGAACATAAAAAACAAGTATCGTAAAGACATAAAACACAAAACGTTGTTTTATAAAAACTTCCTTCCTCTAAAAATTCAGTATGTTTATGATGTAATTAGACCATGTTTTTTGATCATGAATTTTACTGAACACATTTACCTAATAATATTTAATATTAGTACATTTTCAACGATTACGTTTAAATTCTTAGGTAATAAATGAAAGAGTGAAACTATAGTTTGAAACCCCGTCTTTACTCGTAAGAGTAGGAAAAACGCCAGGAAAAAGTAGCAGGATTACAGCATTAAATTGTAAATTCTACCATTAGGAACCTGTGCGACTATCACTCAAGAAGGAAGTTAGAAGACAAGTTAACAAGAAAAGGGAATTTTCTTCCAAGAAGAAATATTGCATTTATTCTAATACTTCGCTACGAAGCACACATAATGATACATAAGTCAATATCAATAATTATCAAACATTTATGCCTTTTAAATGAAAAAATAGTAAACGAAATTTAAAACGCGAAATATTACTTAAACTTATTCGAAAATGATTTTTAACCTCGGCCCGACATTTCGTATGCTTTGCAGCAGCCGTGGTCACGGGGAGACCACGTATGTAGTAAACGAAACTAAATATAGGTTTAGAACGAATGCTCCAATGAGAGGGCTTGAAATAACAAAATACTAGCAAGGCGCTCGAGAAAGCAAATAGAATCAATTTTAAATTTACCAATATCGATAAGAGATTGTAGTTTGTGCAGGTAAATAAAATACAGATACACAGGGTAAAGTTCAGGTGGTCCTCGTGCAGTATTCGATGCTATGCAGCTTATGTATGTAAGGTCACGCTGTGCAGTCCTGCCGGAATAGTGTACTTCGAAATGCTCCACTTTAGGGCACTAAAATTTTATTTGTGTGCCGAGGAATTTTATAGTTTACTTACTTTGCTTTTAGAAGTTTTAAGAGATGCAATTTGAATGATTAAAACGCTAAATTTAAATTAGTGATTAATCTCTTTAATAATTATAAAAATTTAAATATTTATATGAAAAACTCAACTGTAGAAATGTGACAATTGTATAAAATTTTAATGTTATTTATAATAGCAACATTTTTTCCTATATTTTTAGTATAATACTGAAACTAATATGGATATTTCTTTAGTGACAAAATAAGTTTAAAATTTTATCCTATGTTATGTTATATTAACTGTAATATATAGCAATATGTATATAATTAGGTAACAAGAAAATGTCCAGATAAATTTGACAGTATGTAAACATGGATATTAATTTAATTGGATTTATACGACAATAATAATGAAAAATAATAAAGTAAAAGTTAAAGCTTCTCTCGCATGTGACACGCTGAAAGCACAAAAGAGTTAATTGCACTTGTACAGCTAAAACGCGTTCACGGTCAAACAACAAAACACACGTTCAATATAACGCCAATGGACCATCGCTCGAGGCTCACAGCATCTCTATCTCTTGCCGTAGTACTAGAGCGAACGTAAACTTAGCTACGAGCATAAGACCGCCAGTGCCAAGGTAAATGGAAGTTAAGTCGGAGGATCGAAGGGCTAGAATTGTAGGAGAGACGCGGAACGGTGTTTCCGTCTCCCTCACACGGGGCCCTAGGCTGCGAGGCGCAGGTTAGAGATGGGCTCTACTATTATCTCTGTACCTAGTATTCAAAGATACTTAGTACTAATACTCGCTACAAAGTACTTATATGTTTCTATACTTTCAAACATACGTAATACAAATACCGGTAAATTCAAATATCTAATAAAATCATTATAGTTTATAATTTAATTTAAGGACTCTTATGGCGTATGAAGTAGGAAATAGTTTTTATGTCATGTGTAAAGATATGCGATGCATAGATAATTGTTGAAAGTACAGCGAATACTATCGACCGTACTAAGTACGTAAAAATACTACGTACCGCCTAGTACCGAATACCCGTTCCAAATACCGGCCTAGTATTTTCGAATCAGCGCAGCCGGCAGACAGTCGCGGTCCGCCGGCCGTCGCGACGCTTTAGGCCTGCCGAGGCCGCCTGTGGCGCTTATCATGTGGAATACGTGAATGCTCTGCTGACTCCAGCCGTGTCTGTTCAGCTGTGTGCGGCATCGGCCCTCTCATTTACGAAACGCATCCCACTACATCGAGTTCTGTCGCGTGTGAGCTTACAGACCCGTGTATTTCATTTCTTCCCGATCATATAGGCTTCTACGAGAACGGTACGCGTTATAGATAACGTCTAGCGCTACATCGGTTCGCTAATGGTTCAGTTTTAGGTTTATATAGGAATTATGACGACGCGATCATCGTTACGACACAAAAGATAACAGTTTAATCTGATAATCGCGCAGAAAAGTACATTCATTAGCGCTCTACGTGTTCGGGTGTATATTGTGTAAAATGTTATCGTTAGCTGACGATCTAGTATGATCTTTACGTATTTCGCACCTGTTTAAAACTTTTTCCGTGAAACGTGTTTCTTGAAATAAACACACCACCTACTTGTTGAGTGATATATTTATTACAGTGTACCAGTTATTTTAGGTTTTTGATTTCTGAATGTTTTCGCCTATTGAGCCTCCTGCGTATGGTTATAATATCAGATCATCTGGCACATACTATATTAAAGCTACATACAGATGTCAGTTGAAATGTATCGCGATCAAAATAAATGAAATCTTCTCTACAACCTTCAGAAGGGTAAAAATAAACATGACTAGGTAGAGATCCGTGACCCGTATTCTAGTAAACAGGTTCCTGAAATCAATATCCACTATTTACAGTCTAAAAGCGTCCCATGAATACGTTCCTATCGAAAGTGTATATTTATTTTATATATTTACTAAACATTTTATAGAAAATGTTAAACTAACAATTTACTGAAAATATTTCTTGCATAGTATTGGTGATAAGGAAATAAAATGGTGTACTATCTTGAAGCTCTGCTTACGTTAATAAAGGTGTAAATGCATATATAAACATACAAAAAAATATAATATCACAAAAAAACAAATGATAAAACAATAAAACTCTTTCGTTTTTGAGAACAGGCTGCGGCCTTGTAGTTAAATAGCGATTTCTTAAGAACAATGGGAAGGAAAACTAATTTAACATACACAACGTATATCTGTCCGTTCACTGACTTATACTTCTAACTATTTTACTTACTAATATATTAAATGCCTATAATGATTTGTAATGTCTTTATATCATATCATCTTATAAAGCTAAAGATTTTGTTTGCTTAAACGCGCTTATCTCAGGAACTACCGGTTAAATTAAAAAAAGAATGGATAGACTGTTTATCGAAGATTGCTTTAAACTATATACTAATCAAGCAACATTGGAAAATTTTATTGTGCGTGCTGTGAAACAATTCAAGAAACCAAAGTTTATGAAAAAATGATTCTTCTTTCAATTATTTTAGGAAAATGAACGTGATCTTTATGTGTTTCTTCAAAAAGCTAGAACCGTTTTTATGGTAATTAAATTTGGTAGAAATGAACGCCTTATTAGCAATTATTTGTAGGAATTGTATCAACGTAATAATATTAATCTTGCAAATAAAACAGGGTTTGCCGTATCCGCTAGTAGTTCATAAAATGTACCAGTTGTTTATTATGAAAGAATTTATGAAAAAAGCTGCGCGTTTATTGAATCATAACTCAATACGACCTTCAGTTTCATAGCTCGGTTAATATATATACTTTTCTTCTCGGTTCAGATTTTACACTCACGCCACCAAATCTCCACTCTTTGATAAGCCTGTTTTATGAATGCAATTAAACTATACAACGTTGAGTACTAACAGCTTATAGTGAGATTATATTAAGTAGTTTACACACAACCGCATTTTGTTTTCTACACATTGTAGATAAAGTTTCATAAACCTTTTACCTACTGTATCTGTACGTATACATATACTGTTACATACGTACACACAGTCGTCTATAGTCAATGTTCGGTTGGTTATATAAGATAACATTTTTAATCTTACTAAATTAACGGTTTTGACACAGTTATTTTCACTACTTAACCTTTTTTTTTAGATTAGTAGTTTATTATAAGGATCATTAAGTAATATAAACAGTGTAGACAAACTTCAAAATAATTGATAGTTACTTTCTATATAAACGGTAGAAAAATTAAGCAATATTGCGCAAGAGTACAACGTATAAAAGGATGAACTAAATTTGATAACAATTATATGGCGAGTTTGTTAGTTCGAATTCCAACATAGATATGAATAATTAAGAAATCCAAAATTAATTTAAACTATAAATCTATTTTTATTAAGAAAAAGACAACCCGGTCGGGGACTTGAAACAGCATCCACAGCGTTCCGTGTTATTGTTCGTTGCGTGTTCTACACGTCAGCACTTCATCTCGAATTTCTTCAACCTATTGATTATTATATAAAAATAAATGGTTATTAACACCTCTCGGACACTATAATTTCTTAACACTTACATTTTCGAAATTTTAACGTTACAAAATTCCGAAAACCAACAAATTTCAATGGACGCCCCTTCCGCGCAATTCAATTTCAACCTTTACTATCAGTCCTGATAACTACTACGTCATATCATGGTAAACTAAGTCATTCTTGAAACGCCGATTTGATGTCATATTCATATATATTTCGTTTATCACGGTTTATCAATTATTTATCACTGATGACAGTGATGACGATTGCAAAATTGACACGAAGCAAGCAATTGAACTCAACGACCGCTCAACTAGGAGTAATTGATTGAGTCTCTCACTATTGGTGGTTGAACGCCATAAATGGACGGTTATTAGGCTAGTTATAAGATTTTCCTTTATTATTATCGGCTATTGTTTTTATTTCGCATTGACAAGGCTGTGCCGTAAAGGTTAACTGTCAAGGTTAATCAAATGAGATACGCACAGTACGAAATAGAACATTATACTGCGTATGATTGTCTTTCGGGCTGTTCGGCCGATGTGAGCGAGAAGAGGTTCTCGACGTTTCGCTATCACGCGTGGACGGCATCATCAGGAGATCTCCTGATGAACCTCGCTCACATCGGCCGTACAGCCCGAAACACAATGATATGCTGAACGATGGCCGTGTAAGTCTTACACAATTTATTAGAACATTATACTACTATACTTATATATAGAGCAATATAAAATCCTTATATTTACTATAACAAAAATTAATATTATTTACAATTATTCTAATCTATACTAGCTAAGTCACGCGATTATTTTGGATATCATTTTTTTTTTGTAAATACCCTGTTCAACTCTATAAATTTGATCGAATTGAATCGTCGCCGTCCGTGTCTCGTCGTTCTCGCAAGTTAATCTTAAAAGAGGGACATATAGTGTCGCGGACTTTTTTCTAGATCATTTAAAGAGAAAAATATTTCAGACATATTTTTGGGTATCTTGAACCCACAAGGATGAATAATTCTCCCCGTTTTTTCGACATTTCCCGCTGTTTCTTAGCTCCTATTAGTCATAGCCTATAGCCTTCCTCAATAAATGCTCTAACTAACACAAAAATATTTTTTCAATTCGAGCCTGTAGTTCCTGAGATTAGCGCGTTCAATCAATCAAACTCTTCAGCTTTATATATTAGTATAGATATTTATTTTTAAGTGTATAATCGTAAATTTTATGATCTGTATATAGATCAGTATATGAAATATGAAATCAGAAGCCTCTTGTTAAAAAATTGGGTTCACACAAAACTGGAAAGTGCGAACTGTACAATCGTCTATTATAATTTTTTTTTATGTAAATCACCTATCGAGATCTTTCTGACAACATTTACTAAAGACAGTGTAATTTTTTTCGATCACTTAATGTCGATGAAAAATTGTAATTATCTATGTTATATTATGTGCTTTGAAATCGGGTTGTCATTTTTGACTCTACAATTTGTTATACATAGAATATCTATAGTCTTTTATAAAGTCTTCTTCATTACCCTCAATTTTGGCTTCGCCATAGTCGGTTAAAGATAATATCTTGATGACGTCACAACGATAAAAATATTTTATATTTGAAAGACTTTTAAGGGAGCAGTTAAGGTTAAGGCGTTTATCAAACATTTATTACGCCTTACTCTGTAATGTACAGTTGAATTTTTGATAATTTAAACGACCAAAGGCGTAAAACGTTTTTAATATTGAATATTTACAAATTGAAAACCTGTTGAAAACTTTTGAAGTACTTCAAAGACTAATTACTGAATCAAATTGATTGCCCTTCAGAGTTAATAATTTCTGTATATTTAATAAGTAACATAATAAGTCTTCTTCCAATTAACAAGGATAAAACTACTCAATATTTATTTGACACTAGCTGTGTCAGCGAAAATAAAATAGCTATTTTGAGCATCAATTTTTTGTTAGTTTTTGTAAACCTCCAGTTCAACTCTATAAATTTAAGCTTGTTACCTTCGAAATCATCCTCGTCCCCTCGTTCTTGTAAGTTAATCTTAAAAAAAAGATATACTGTCACGGACGGAATAATTTTGAGATAATTTAAATCATTCTTCTTCTCTTTCCCGCCTTTATTAGCTTGCCTCAATAAACGCTCTATTCAACACAAAAAAAAAAATTCAATTGTAACCTAGTCACAGCGCCATAGCCTATGCCCTTTCTCAATAAATGCTCTAACTAACACAAAAATAACTTTTCAATTCGAACCTGTACTTCCTGAGATTAGCACGTTCAAACATACAAACAAATAAATTCTTCAGTTTTATATGTTAGTATAGATAGAAGTAAAAGATATACAAGTGCAATCTTAAACAAACCGTCAGTATGTAAAATGTCATAAATACGTCATTCAGAGACGCTAATTACAGTGACTAAGTAAATAGATAATATAGTAAATAATTGACTCCATTATACATTCTCTGTACACGTCTGCATCTAGGCGTATGAAATATTCTGTAATTTACGTGACTACAACACTTAACGGATTTAAACGTAAAATATTCGTTCGCTTTAATCACGACATTACGTTTGGCTTTTAGGAGCCCTGGACACGTGGGAACTACTGCGTTCTAAATTGTAATAAGTGTCATTTTTTAATGCGCCTTAAGTACGCATTACAGATAGATATATGCAAGTATATTTATTTTAAATTTTTGGAATTGTGCCTTCTTTTCCCCTTATTTTGTTTCTTAGCTTTTCGTATATAGTTCTAGTTTGTTTCGAACATCTTCCCAGTCCCTTTTTACGCTGAGGTTTTTTATAGCTTCTTTTGTTTTATATAACTATATTAAAATAAATAGTATGTATACCAACAGTGAGATAGTTTTAGTAGTGGCGTCCTAGGATAAAATTCAATTAAAGACACAAATACCGTAGATCGTAGGTACTTCTATTTTCGTGTCACAAGAATACAAGTGCTTGTTCTCAAACATTAATAACTGTATGAGGAATTATGTGACTAATTGGGACATTGCCAACGAATACGTGTAGATTATCTTTTCGTCACGATCGTAATACGCTATGATGTATGAATCTTCCAATTATATGTATGAAGGAAATATATTTTTGCTTCTAAGGACGATTACTATATCATTTTTAGAAGTGTTGAATTAGTGTTATATATCGATTTTTTTTATTTTGCACATGGTGTTAAGTATGATACAAAAACATATGACGTTTTTGACCTGGAAACCCTTATAATGAAATAACCTGTGCAATATTCCGTATCCCCGTATAAATATTAAACATACTTTTTTAAATAATATTGGTGCGTGTATGTGTGTATAAGTATGTGAGTTGATGTGATGTGTGGCTTGATGTGTATGGGTGTGTAGAAAGTGATTGATGATGAAGATGTGTGATGATTGATAATATAACCTATCTTACGATTTCATTTACACTAACCTATTCTAACCTATAATTAAACGTAATGTAAAAATGCAAACATTTTCTGGAGGGTGTAAAGTGCAAGTTTGCTTCGATCTGGCTAACCAGTTCTTACAATGGAATATCAAAAAGAATCAGTAAACGATCCATTACTTAGGGAAATTAGAATAAAACTTAGATATTGAAGTACCTAGTCTATTCAACTCATAATTGTTTTATACGACTAGGATACTAATGATTTATTACCTCTATGAAATATAATATGAGATATAAATCATCATAATAAATGTACTTATAAGTACATTATTAAAAAATGCGTATACTCATGTGCAAATGAAAAAATTAGTAATAAAAAATCATTTATTTAAAAGTTGCACACATAAAAACTAACTACGGACTAATTTAACTTGATGGCTAGACTTATAAAAATATATAAATATATAAGGCTTAAAATTTAACATTGACGATTCCTAAAACAGGAGTCATTGAGCAAAACGCTTGTTTTGTTGTGTTTTTTCAGTGCACCCTAGCGCCGCCACTTTTAGAGTTTTAACAAATATGCGTTAAAAATACTCTTAACTAAAATCATTTTCAAATTCAATTTCATATCTACTACTAACACTGACCGCCTCTGTAGCTAAATGGTTATACGTGTTACCTAGCATTGCGTTAAGCGCAAGAGGTCCTGGGTTCGAATCCCAGGGAAACAGTAAATGTTTCGGTCGGGCAGGGCACAGAAGTCTGATCAACTACTTGCCTGTAAATAAAACCGATTAGTGAAACGAACACAGGAATGTGTTCGCCCCATGCCCCACGAGGGGAAACGGGATTTCACACACACACACACTAATACGATTAACTTAATTAAATGGTGTTGTCGTAAAGTAGTTTAATATTTAGTGAGTACGTTGCCAAAATTGCCTGTAATATCAAAGATCATCATCTAGTAGTTGCGCTTGCATTTCTCATACTGATAACCGAAGAACAATTGTAATAATGAAATTCTCACAGAAATTGTTAGCACGTGAGTCTCTGCTCACTAATCTAGGTTGAACTAGTTAAAGCTTAAAATATATTGTCTGGAAACTGGATCGTAAGTCATCTTTCTAGTAGCTATTATTTTATATCTACCATTAGTGAACCGAAAGCGCGTGAACTTTAAACAGTATAAAACAACCTCGGTTTAACAAATCTGAAGGGAACAAGAAAATATCCATTTAAATAAAACACTTTAAGGGTTTAAAACGCGATATATTTCGAAGTCGGGCCGAAGTTAAAAAAATTATTTTTCAAATAAGTTTAACTAATATATCGCGTTTTAAACCGTTAAAGTGTTTTATTTAAATGTGTACTACTCGCGTAAACTATAGACAGTATTAGAACTTTATATAAAGGTTTTGGTTTGATAAAATTCGTTAATTAGAAGTATGAATACTTTTCCTTGATACTTGAAAATTTGTTATAAAGACGGTGTTCGCAAAGAATGCTCGCATTGTACAGGTATATTTTGTATTGACTCTAAATAGAGAGTTCAAGGGGATTACGAAGAATTTGTTAGATCGAGGAAGTCTTTATATCGAGGTACTTTATATTAAGATTGCACTGTATTAGACTACAGTATTAGGCTTTCCAGAATCTTCCTTGCGAAGAGTGGCTTAAAAGTATCTAGACACATATCAAGAAATGTATCTTCAAATTTCAAAGACTGATCTAGCTTTTCTCTAATGATTACGCTTATTTTTATACGCTAATAATTAAAAGTATCGTGAAACGCGAATGGTGATTTTAAAGTGCATCGTGTGTCGCTTGTGTGAGGTGTCCTGCGCACGCGCATTGGGAAGCGTGGTGGGGAAAGCAGCAAGGTGGTCGGAGGGGGGGTATTCCGTTGTTGCGTGCCCTGGTGCGGGGCGCGCACGGCGGGTGCCGACGACGACTATGCCTTGAGAGACGGCAGCCCTCAACCCGAACACGAACAATTCGGTGAGTCTCTTTGCATATACATATACCTTTGTGCAGTTCTCTCCAAACTTTTTGACCGGGCTGAAGTTAGCGCGACCGCCATATTGCGCATGGTACTGTCAATTTTAAGCAAAAGGTCGAGTCGCCCCGCACCCGCGCAACAATCCTTGTCGCACTCGTTCAAACACCGCAACTTCAGCCAGGCTAAAAAGTTTGGAGAGCACTGTAAGTGAAATCCCATATAAAGGTGATCGCATTCGTCAGCAACGCACGCGCCGCATGGATTCATTACTACAGCGTGCATTGTGAGTGAATGTGCTATCACCTTAAGGCAAGCGGCAGACATATTTCTGCCTCCGTTTTACTATTCGTATTAACTAACAAACAAGTAGATAATTACCCTTATGTTTTAAAATTATTAATGTTTCCCCTAAAACTCGTCACCTGCCGTAATGTTTCCGAATTGCGCTGTTTTAGATATTTTTTAAGTTTGTCGAAATATTTACTAAAAAGCGATATGAGGATCGATATCGTTGTAGAAAATCCTACAGATATACTAATAAATGTTCCCGACCTGTTGCTAACGATTTTAATCACCAATGTCAATATTATATTTATCAGTAGGTAAATAGTTACTTGAAAGGGCAACGTCAATAAACTACTCTAGGTTAATTTAATAAATAATTTTTAACGATTTAAAACGCAAAATATATTAGTTATTTTATTTTTGATTGACATAAAATACTCCTTAACTAACACTAGCGTAGCAAAGCTTTGACATTAGGGACACTCTCCATCTTCAGTCCCTCCGTGACTAAGGCTGCTGCAAAGCATCCGATACGGCGGCCATAGTTAAAATAAACGTAAATCAATTTAAAAAATACCTTTCAAGATTTAAACCGTTAACACGTGTTTTATTTAAATCTGTACTATTCGCGTAAACTACAGACAGTACTTATTTTTCGTTTATTTTAATTACGGCCTGACGTTCTGGATGGTTTGTAGCGACTGTGGTCAATCAATAGTGGCATATATTTCGCGTTTTAAACTGTTAATAGTGTTTTATTCAAATGTGTACTCTCGTAGACTAGAGACTACCTACTTTGGAAATATGAAAAATCTCGTAGAGATCTACATTTCGTAGCTCAGTAACAACGATGTAAGAAAACCTGTATGTAGGAAATAGTTTGAATGATAACAAAGAATGAAAACCTTTGTATTATAAAATAAAAGGAAGCAGAGAAAATATAAAGACAGCGTTGTTTAGTGAATGAATTTGTATGGAGCTAGCGATGCTAAGTACAGCTTGACTTTCGTGAAATGTTTCTGAAAGATCTATTCTTATATGACGCGTTAAATAATATTTTTTGACTGCATCATTGATCGATTCTATCTAGGATCTATCTAGTTATTATTTAATGAATATGTTAGTTTTTATCTCTTAGTTTTAATCTCTTAAAGATCTATCGTGTTAAACGATTCAAAAATGGCGACAGCACATTTGTTTAGATATTATATGCGTAGGATATCAACGTCCATAATGTTTGTCTGTCGTTTTAGACTATAAAAAATCATTTATTTGTTATTGTTTTATTATTTGAATTTGAATAAATGGAAAAACGTGGTTTTATAAATTTAAAGATTATTTTGATGACAATATTCGTGTGATATGAACGGGATTCAAACACACGATCTACAGTGTACTATGATTTTCTACTATCGTGAACATCAAATCTAGTCACAGTTTTTAAATTAAAATATAGTTCTTTTTTTTAAATTTATAATTCAGAAATGTTTGCGCTTAATACAAGACAAGTTGATTTAACAAGTTTACAAGGAGTCACTGGGGTGGTTCTACCTTTGAAAAATCCCTGGAAGATCCGGGAAGCGTTCGAATTTTAAATGTTCCGTGTCTAAGTGCACACTTTTATAATACGACTTGCTTTTCCGCTAACAGAATTAGTTCACTTGCGTTCTCCATTTGGTACGGTCTATCATATAGTTTCGCGGCCAGTGTACTAGTGATAGTGTAATAGTGAAAAGTATGTGTTTAGTGCTAGTGAGTTACAATAAATAAACGGACTGAAATGATTTTAACGTACGTATTTACAACAGACCAAATACACATTTTAAAATTATTAATAAAACAAAATTGTACGAAATAGGTGCAGGTGTACTATCTGAGTGACATAAAGATATTGTATATCTAGAATAATTATATCTTTATGTTGTTATGACTCCGAATTATTCGTGTTAAGTTTAGAAAATATTTATGCCGTATTATTTAGTTTTATAACAATCTGTTATATTATTTAATTTCTTATTACAGTTATTTATCGAATAAAAAAATATATACATTTATTTCATTGTATGTTTGTAGACATCAATTGGTTCAATGCATATCAACTAGATACAATACAATCGCTGATCTAGTCACTAGACTGTATTCATTCTTTTCATTACGTGTAAAGAAACATATGAATATGAGTTTATAAATTACCAATAATAGATAAGTTAATCCTTTGAAAACTTTAATATATTATTGCACATGAAGGCATTATATAATTTAAAAATCGAGTCTAAAATTTTTTTTCAATTTATACTTTTACACACAATATATAATTTTTTGAAATATCTTTTTAATATGTTTATTTAAATTTTTTCTGGAGAATATTTTACATTAAAGAAAAATTAATACATATTAATATATAATTATTTCCTACCCTACCACGTACCGTAAAAGATGTTTTATGATAGAGGAGGCAGACAAGCGCGGGGTTTACTTGATAAGAGGTGAAATACCCTAGCCATATAATATATTGATAAGATGCGCTGTCGTCCTATTTTGGCTTTGGATATTTGGAAATCCATGGAAACGTGATTAAATCACCTTTTTTTATCTTTGGACGATGGTAATTCCAACATGATGCATAAAAATTATAAATTAGAAGCATGTTGGACATAGTTAGATCGAACCCACGTCCCGTTTGTTATTAGCCAACGAGCCCTATGTACAATATTATTTATCCGCTACAGATAAATAATTGATATATCCGGTTTTCAGTCGTTTCAGTTGAAAACAAAAACAGAATATCCTTTAAGATATTCTTTCAGAGGGCTACTTACTATTAAAAAGAAACATTATCCGGGAGAGGATTTTAAATACACTTCACCTTGGCTTACCCTTAACCTTTGTCTTTGAAGGGTTCGGGGAGGAAATTATTCCAATGTTGTCTTCGTCCTTCATTTAATTAATTTGAAACCCTTACTTTAATAAAAACCACAGAATGTAGCCATATATAATCAAAAAATTGTATCCTTTTGGTTACGATAGATATTAGAAGAACTGTGAATTGTACGGTTTTATAAAATATCCTAGGATCTTACATAACTTAAATAAATAAATAAAAGAAACAAAAACCGAAAATGCCGGTACTAATTTATACTATCAATTTTAAACTATAATTTTTGAAATACATAATCAATGATAGAAATATTTTTAGATCTTCATAAAAAATATATTTTAGACAGTTCTTTATAGCCTAACGGACTTTTTATTTGCGCATTAGTGTAAATTACGTATAATTTGTCCAAGTTTAGTAGTTCACCGACTGACCTAGACAATATATTTGCTTGACTAGTTTAGACATTGAATTTTCGGGTTTCTCATACCCAAATAGAGAGTCTATTTAATATAATAAAAATATACTAATCATTCAAAAATATTGTTTATATTAAAACATTGTGTTTTTTCACAAATCGTATATATATACATACTAGCTGTGTCAGCGACTTTATCCGCGTAAAATCGTTGTTTTGGGAATATAAATTTATTTGCAAACCTCCTCTTCATCTTTAAAAATGTATTCTATTACCCACGACGTCGGTCGTGTCCTGTCGTTCTTGCGATTTAATTTTTAAAGATATACATACATACATTAGGGGCATACATAGATAGATATTTTTTTTTAGATCGTGAGGAATCTCATTTTTTTTAATTAAAGAGGAATCATTCTTTCATACTTATGTTTTGGGTATCTTGAACCGTTTTCGCAGCGTACGAATCGGAAGCCGACAAAGATCAATAATTTTCCCAGTTTTCTCCACATCTCCCGCTTTTTCTTCGCTCCTATTAATCACAGCGAGCTTTTTATAGCATAAATATATATATATATATATATATATATATATATATATATATATTTATATTTTTTTCAATTCGAACCAGTACTTCCTAAGATTAGCGCGGCCAAACAAAACAAACAAACTCTTTAGATTTATATATTAGTATAGATTTTAATTACTTTTATCACAATTAAATTACTGTATGTAGAAGACGTTTAATTGTATTTTGCAAAGGCTCAAAACTTTTCGAAAAACGAATGTAAAAGTACTACATATTAAGAAGTGTACTGTTATCTTACCTGTCTATATATTTTTAGGTTAGCAGTTCCTTATTTTTTTTGAAGCGTAAATATTTTGATGTAACATGCGGTTGAGTTTCCAAAAATTAATTCTAGGGGCACAAGGCGAGCATCTAGATTGTACACGTTGTCGTGTTTGTGTCTCATCGTACTAATTACGAAAGATTCGGGTTAAGAAACGGAAATGAAACCACACGGTTAACAAAAGCGCTGGTTTTATCTTGATATGTAGAAATGGCCTTTGTTTTCGGATATTACGCTGAAATGAAAATTCGTGGGTTTCACCTACTTCACTCAAAAAACATCTTTGTTCTTTTTTTAAATTAATGTATTTACGAGAATTTCTATACTAAAATTAAACGCGAACCAGCGTTGGCTTAACGTTTCCTGCGTTTCCAACGTCGGATTTCGAACCTAGGACCTGTTAATTTGCAGTCGAGTATACCAACCAATAGCCCAATGTGGTCATATCGAACTTCTTATGTAATATAATGTATAATAATAACCTTCGAATCTAAAGCGTCTTTACGCCTTTTTGATTCTGGCTAAGTTGAAAATATAAAATATGTTTAACGTGTCAAGTTCTAAATAACCTTA